ACACACACACACACTCTACCCTATAATGCAAATGTATAATGTAAAAATATACATTTATTACTATACAAGTTATTTATATTATTAGACTGATGTCTGGCTAAAACAGTTATTTTAACACTTTCTTGGTATTTTTTGGAGATAGTCGGTAAAGCTTTCCAAGACTTTCCTTTCCTTTTCTTTTTCCTTTTTTTTTTTTTTTTTGCCCTCCTGGAAGAAAAGATTTGAGTGGAATTTATCATTTAGCTCATTTGTAATTTCAATTTTCTCTGAGTTCTTTAACAAACAGTTAACTATAAAATTAGACATGTTCCTCCATTCACTGTGTTTTGAGCTGACAGAGGGAGAAGGTGAGCATTACATTTAGTTGTGTCACTGCACTGGTAATACCCATTTTAGCACAATCAATTAGCTAACCACAACAAGCACTGGCTCAATAATAGACATCTTCAGCAGGGTTATTAGTATAAACCAAATCCAAAACCATAAAAATGTTACTTGAAATAAACATTACCTGAATTAAAATATTAATATTATATAAATATTATTTAAGCTAGTTGCCAAAAGCAACATTTCTCGTTTTCATTTAGTTTAACTCAAAGTACTAAAAATAACTCAAACTGAAGTAATATATGAAAATGAAACTAGTCATCAGCAAACTTAAGAGGTTCATTAAGATCCACTTAATTGATAGGAGAAATTATTAACTCATTCTGTCATTATTTACAAAAGATGGGAAATTTTCAATAAATAAGAATTAAATTTCAGTCTGTTTCTCACACAAAGCTTTTGTGTCGTTTCAGAATAAAAGACACTTATTATAAATAGGCAGATATGGCAAAACTTTGAACAGGCTACTTTCCAAATAAATTGTCAATTGAAATGGTAATAATGCACTCTAGTGGATAAGCCTTGTCGATGCGATTCACAATCAAAAAGCCCAGCACAGCGAAGCCGTCTGTCATTTGTAATGATAATAGTATTATCACTTCGTACAAAATGACAAAATGAAATTAAAATTAAAACGCGCGTGTGTGTGTGTGTGTGTGTGTGTGTGTGTGTGCGCGCGCGCGTTTTTGTGACAAATGAGGACATAAATTTGTATAATGACAAGGGTATGACATAGGTATTAC